CCAGTGTTGGAGCATTCACCGCTTCTGGAGGCAGGTTGTTCCACTGGTTAATTGTTCTAACTGTCAGGAAATTTCTCCTTAGTTCTAGGTTGCTTCTCTCCTTGATTAGTTTCCACCCGTTGCTTCTTGTCCTGCCTTCAGGTGCTTTGGAAAATAGCTTGACTCCCTCTTCTTTGTGGCAGCCCCTGAGATATTGGAACACTGCTATCATGTCTCCCCCTCGTCCTTCTCTTCATTAAACTAGACATACCCAATTCCAGCAGCCGTTCCTTATATGCTTTAGCCTCCAGTCCCCTAATCATCTTTGTTGCTCTTCTCTGTACTCTTTCTAGAGTCTCAACATCTTTTTTACATCTTGTCTGCGTCTTTACTGGCAAATTGAATCTGTAACCAAAATCTAAAATTTTTGCACACCAGGGACAATTTCTTAGTATATTACAAAAAAGCAATAACAGTTCTTGTCTTTTCTCCTGACACTTCTACTTGTACAGATGGAAATTACTTTCTATTATGAAAAAGTTAATTTATCAAATCCTAGCTACCCTCTGTTTTACCTTTTCATTCTGTGATTCAGCCTCTGGTTGCATTTTGCTATTTTCCGATGATATCCATCTTTCTGGATCTGATAGCTTACAACTGCAATGCATTTAAAGAATAGCTGTGTTAATTGAGATAAAAAAAATAAACCATATCAGATACCATTAGTATTTCTTTCCTTTTGATGGTACCCCATTGAATGGTTGAATCTTGCTACTTTATCTGGATGTTCTGGCTGGCACCAACCAATCTGTTTGCCTTAAATTGCTTTCTTTTTTTTTCAAACAGACTAAAACTATACCTCTTGTCCACAGCCTAGGATCTATAGTTGACTATATGGTCTGCTCCAATCTAGAACCATTTGTGATGGCTGAATATAACCGTCCGTCACCATTCCTAGCTATCTGCATGTTGATAGAAATAATTATCTGACACATGTGAAGAGCACCGGCTGCAGAACGGTAATGCTTCATTTTTATAACTTTATTGCTTTTTTTTTCATTGTTTTCCTCAGCATATTATCAAACGTTTCACATTTGGTACTACAAAAAGTGCCATTGGGGGGAAAAATCAATTATCCTGTAGGGTCCTGCAGGATTCTCTTTTGTCTCATAAACACACAGAAAAACTTTCACAGCTTGGCATGAAATGCCCACCAATATAGTGAAGATAGTCAACAATACTTGTCTTTTCCCGCAAGTTCCAAGTTGGAAGTTTACAAGGCTTCTCTATATCTCCAAACCATTAGAGACTGGATGTGGGAGAAAATAAATTGAAGCTGTATGCAAATTAAATAGTGCTGTTACTAATTTCAGGATTAAGAAGATACATCTACTCTGGGGGGCATTCTCTTTTAAAGTTACATTTGTAGTTTAGGAGTCCTGCTTAATCCAGCCACATTTGATGGCCGGTTGTTTGATAAAAGAGAGGCATCCGCGGGTTAAAAGCATTGCGAGGAAAGGAATGGTGTAACAGCAAGTCTTCTTTATTGATTACTCCAACACAACAGCAACAGAAAAAAATGGCACGCAGGTCTTTTATAGTGTCCCTGCAAAAGCCAGCATCAGCCAATGAATGCAAGGCTGTTTTTGCGCCTTGCGCATGCGCGCAAGGCTGGAGACAGCCAGTCTTGTCCCGGGCAGCCTTGTGGTTTGCCCGGGACCCATTGCAACATTTCTGAGCCTGCTGAATGATCCAGCAGGCTCAGCACATAACACATACTATTTGGAGGAAAGAGTGATCAATGCACCAAAACCTTAAGACAGGATTATTACAATGTGTTCATGAAACAATTCTTGAACACAATTAGAAAATTAAAATTGGCCCAAATGTGGCAATATGGGTGGTGAGTGGTGCTTCTCACCATCAAATTGCCATATTCTAGATCAGTGATGGTGAACCTTTTAGAGACTGAGTGCCCAAACTGCAACCCAAAACCCACTTATGTATCGTCGGGTGTCGGGTGGGCATGGCCCATTGGGTGGGTGTGGCCTATTGGGTGGGCATGGCTGCAGTGGTAATGGCAGACTGGGTGGGACTAAAAAGTTCAATCAATCAATTCCAACTTTGCGAGATCTTTTTTTTTCCTGCGAGAAGTTGAAATTGATTGATTGAACCTTTTTTTTTTGCACACGGTGGCCGAGGCCTAAAGCGAAAAGGTTTTATAAAATCCAGCTGAAGGCCTAGGACTGGGGTGATGGTGTGCGTGCCCACAGAGAGGGCTCTGCGTGCCACCTGTGGCACACGTGCCATAGGTTCGCCACCATGGTTCTAGATAGTTGGAATATATAAAGTCCTAGCTATACTATTTTTCTACTGAGACAGATTCACTAGATGCTAGTTCTTAGCATTGAAGTTAAGGAATTCACAATGGTACTTAAAGCTATCCATAGGACAACTTATTCATGTACAGTCCATCTAACATTTTCTGGTCATCAGTGGAAAACATTCTGCTTATCTTGCCATGTTTTGTTTGAATTCTGTATTGAATTCATTTTTTTTAACACGATGGACCCACAGTGTGGGAAAAAATTCACTGGAGTTGGAACAAACTCCCTAAGAGGACTCCCTTAGTACAATTTAGGGAGTAATTAAGTCAACCAATTAGAACAATCATATTTATCCAAATATTGATTTTTATTATTTATTGTTTTATTTGTTTCTACAAGAGTGGGTCATATTTGCAACTTATAAATAAACAAGCAGTTATACCATTTTTATAAATTATATTATACTGGGATAATTCAGCACAATCTTCACTTACTGAGGGAAAAATTTCACATGTTCTTCCCAAGGATCATCAGTTTCTTCCCAGTTGTACACATACCCACTACAGTAAAAACACTGTACAGTATCGTTTCTCCCTGCAAAAAAGGCAATAGCAGCTCAATATTGTGGGATATGTGTGCGTGTATATATATACAGACAGTATATGCACAAACACACATTAGAGAGGGCACAGAGAGGGCACAGAGAGAGAGAGAGAGAGAGAGAGAGAGAGAGAGAGAGAGAGAGAGAAGAATGTTGTCATCAATGTTTGATCAATCTTTTTCTTTAATTTTTATCAGAAATCTGTAATACTCCCTTTTGTTTCAGTTGACTTGTTAACAACAGATCAAGATCATTAAAGTAATAGATATAATGCTAATGACCAGATGTCTGCAAAGAAATACAATCCTTCCAGTGGTGGGATTCAGCCAGTTCCTACCAGTTCAGCAGAACCGGTAGGTAATTTTTTGTTGCCCAGGCCCAGAATGGACTTGCGGAAGCGGCATCCACACAGAGAACCAGTTGTTCACATATTTGAATCCCACCACTGAATCCTTCCATTCCCCCGCTGCACCATCCAGTCAGAGCCTATCCTTCCATTCTCTGACTATCCAGTCTCAATTGTCAGTACTGATAGTACCTCTCCTTCCATACATACCCCATCACAACTTGGATGAGAAACAAAACATTTTGTTCTTCTTCCTCAAGAGAAAAAAAATAGCCCAGCTGCCTTTTGAAGAAGCACCTTTGATACAGTATTTAAACAGAGGATGGGTAGCCATCTAGCAGGGATACTATAATATTGGATTTCTACACTGGGCAGGATTTATGTGATTCCACCCCTTCCATTCTATGATTCCATTCTATGAATTTATTTATACAATTATTTAAAAGATTTGTATAGCCACCCATTTTAGAGCACAACTCTGGGCAGCTCATAACAATAAAAATATAAAAATTATGAAAAACATAAAGCTAAAAACTAAAAAACAGGCTCCTTAGTCCATCCTAGCATGCCTTGACAATAATCCAAGGTTCCTATTATTTTACCCCAGCGAGTGGGTGAAGAGCTAGGTTTTCATAACCTTTCAGAAGGCCAAATACAATTGAAGAAAAGAAATATATATCAAGATGTAGTAGGGAGTTAGACTAGAAGACTTCTAAGGTCCCTTCCAATTATGTTATTGTTGTTGTTGTTGTTGTTGTTATTATTATTAAACTTCCATCTCCTCTTTTTGACACATTAATATATATGCTTCCTTAAAAACGTAAATACAACATACATAGAGCTAAGCCCTCAAGCAAGCATAGTTGCTTGATTTTAATGAATAGCCTGTGAAAGCCTGAAAAAACATGCTGACACTTTAAGTCTTAAGGAATACATTATTTAAAGTTGAAATGTCTCTTCAAGTAGCTGCTTCTTTGTTGAGCTTTCATAAAACCTGAAAAAACTTGAACTGTTTTAATGAGTACCATAAAAGTGCTGTGTTCACAATTACTCAAAGCTGAAGTTATTTTACTCTGAGTCATTTTCCAAGCATGCAGAACCTCATAAAACAGTATTAAGATTAAATATTCAGAATAGTGTGGTTAATGTACATCAGTGCTTCTCAATCTGGACAACTTTAAGGTATGTGAACCTAAACTTTCAGAATTCTGGGCACTGAAGAGTAGAGATCTTAAAGCCACCAAACTTGAGAAACACTTCTCTTTATATACAAGGAATTTAAAAAAATTAAAAACAAATTTCCTAGGTGACTGAATCAAAATTTCTTCAATATAGCCATCATTTCCAAAACCTGCCTTTTGACTTAAAATAATGTACAGGTTTTTTCAAAATATTATTTTAAACAGTAAAAGAATACAAGGATATACAATTACAAAGAGAAGGTGATTATTAATTAGAACTGAGTGCAAGTAAGACAATTTTAATCAAACTTCAATAATACTTTGCAGACCTTGGTAAATAAGGGTAAGATTATGGGGGGAGGGAAGCAATAAGAGACTTACCTGTATAGAAGAAACCTGCTTTAGCCAGAATTGCTGGATCAGCATGTGCATCTTGTGGCCACGTTTTGAAGGATTCCAGCCGAATCTCTTCATCCTTATAGATGTTCAGAAAGGGTTCTAGGTCCTCTTTTGCAACCAAAAATATGACAGAGTTTATGAAGAAATGCCTGAGATATTGTAAGTAGACATATTTTCATGATTTATAGTAGAGAAGAAAATGTATGTTGTTTTTAAAAGACCCAGAAAACTGTAAATAAAGGAAACTGTATATCAACATTTCCCTGTACGTCTTTTTCTCATGTGTACAGAGACATTTATACAGCTTTCACTATTTATGTACGGGATGGGATTAGACAAGAAAATTCTTTTGAGTTCAATTGTACTCCATCTTGAGTTCTTAATGAAAGGTGTTTAAAATAAACACAGTGTTAAGTAAATAATTAAAACTCAGCAGATTTTGAAATGTTTCAAAGCTTTGACAAAAAAAATTAACTGGACAATGATATCTGTTGCAATCAATTCCTGCCCTGTCTCCACTGAACTAATGTATTTACTTTGTATAGACATCTACATGATCTCACAACCACTGACTGATACAGTAGCAATTCAACCAGTACAAGCATAAAAAGCCAAAGAAGCATGTGATTCTGTAAAAGCTTGTACTGTGTTCACAAGCAGATAGTTGAATTTTCATTGCAGTGACTGCAGTTTGCATCATGGAGAAGGTCCATGAACACTAAAAAATAGGGTTTTAAGAGGCTGCAATAGGAAAGGGAACCTCCTATAATGAAGATCATATGGCATTTTGGACCTCATGACCATTAGCATGGTCTTGCAGTCTCATATTCTTCAGATCATATTTGATAACAAGATCCACAAGAGCCAGGCAATGAAGCCAATGGTCAAGTCTGAACATCCAAAATGTCTACACTGCTTTCTTATGATTTAAATCACAGGCCTAGAATTCTATTTCCATTACTGTACCTGGGTCAGAAGGTAAACATTTCCTCGCAGATGCTGTAAAATGCTTCCCCTAAACAAAACAAAATGCTAGAATTAGTTCTATTAGTTCTATCCATGTTCCTATTTCTTCTATGATTTTGATAATAAGCTAATATGCAGTTCCATTGATGCTTCGAATTCAATTTATAAATACTGTACATAAGTTGCTATAAGGACTCCACTGAACAGTTTTGTTCAAATAACCTTTCTTTCATCTGCCGTGAGTTTATACTTTGACAAATAATTATGTCTGGAACAGTTGCAGTTTCCCCCCCCCCCCTTTGCTAGGATTGTTCTGGGTTCTTTTTATTTTCCAGATCTCAGCATCAGTTAACTGCTGCCTTAATTTCCCACAATGCTCAAACATTCTACCTTTTAATTTTGTGAAGAAAGAGAAACTAGAGAAATACTTTTCAGGAGGTTTAGTTAGACTTTCCAACAGAAAAATTAAGATCTTGAGGATTACCCCATTAAGAGTAGCTCCTTAAACAATCATAGTCTAATGTTTCAATAAAATAAAAATGAAAAAAGAATACCGTAATGCCTAAAAATCCACAATAACTTTGAATATACTGTTTAATTTCATCTCCGGACTTCTCCCTTTGAAGAAATTCACATCTATAAAATAAAATAATGGTAATTTAAATATTTTAAATGATCACAACAGATATGAACAATTAATGGAATTTCAGTCTATCCTGATATTTTACCAAGAATGTAAAGCACAAATGTAAACATATTGTAATGGGTATACTGTACTGTGGACATTTTGTACAATGAGCAAATTGAGTTTCATATTATGAAATAAGGACATGTTGTTCTAGTTTTTATTCTCAGGATTCTTATACTTTTGTGTCTTAGAACCTACTATACAAATATCCAAGAGCAATGTTTTTCTAGCTGGTGCCTGCCAAAAATGTTGTATTACAAATTCTACCACCTGCTGTGGCAGGTTATTGACTATGGAGCTGGCAATGATTATTATAGTCCAAGATGTTTTAAGGGTATCAGGTTGGAATTTTGTCCACTAGAAATGAATGCATAAATGTATTTATTCATAGTATTTACACGGTCTTTCTAGTTAACAAAACTACTATATTGAAATCTGATTACCATTCCAATTTTCAGAATGGTGGTGCTACAAGAGGGAACAGTGATAGCTTGCTGATGGTGAAACGGATTGTTTCTTCTACCTGTTCATCCCAAGCAATCCAGAGTGACTCATTTGTTACATGGGAATAAGAAGCCAATCTGCACCCTGGAAGGGCAGGACTGCATCAGAAGAGCCTAAGACTTCCAAGCATCCCTTCAGTCTACCTATATTATGTTTTCTCATTCAGCCATTCCTTTGTTATTACTTAGACAGTAATATGTTTATGTAATGACATAATGTTCATCATAGTTTGTTGCTGATGTTTAAGATATTGGGTTGGATCAGGATTTGATGCCTTAGAAACCTCTAGCCAACACTTATCTATAAATCCAACCACAATGGGAATTTTGTTTATACGCTCAGCTTATTATGCTCTTTGCCTGCTGTTTTGAATATTGCTAAAGCAATACACAGCAGTGTTCAAATAAAAAAAATCATGCCAGTTTATATTAACATAAATAATATATGTTTATGTTGTTAGTCGCGAAGTCGTGTCCGACCCATCGCGACCGCATGGACAACATTCCTCCAGGCCTTCCTGTCCTCTACCATCTTCTGGAGTCCATTTAAGCTCACACCTACTGCTTCAGTGACTCCATCCAGTCACCTCATTCTCTGTCGTCCCCTTCTTCTATTGCCCTCAATCTTTCCCAGCTTTCCTTGGAGGATAATCTGGAGACATGGTAAGTAAACAAGCTTGCTGTTGGTGGTCACAGATCAAAGATACTGTTGGTCCCTCTGTCCTTTGGCTATCTTAAATTTGCTTCAAGGGATCTGGTAATGGGGTCTCAGCTGCTGGGAATATAGCTACAGTACTGGTATCTTCAATATCAGAACCAGGCATAAAAAGAGATTGTGAACTTGTCTTGTGCATTACTCACTCAGGAAACCATTTTGCATGCTCTTTCCATGGATCATCACCTTCTTCCCAATTTCCCAGGCACCCAGAGCAGGCAAAACACTGAACTGTGTCCTTTATGCCTGCATGAATGACAATTACACAGAGCTGAGCTATTCATCTGACTCCTGGTACTTTGAAGCTATCCTTCTGGAAGGCAAAGCAGTATAATAAGAATGCCAAACAAGCAGAGGATTATATTAATAGGGAAAGCTATATTAACTATCCTTGTTCATGAAACCCAATAGATTCATCCTGTATACATAGTACATATACAAAATGCTATATTAAATTTATAGACTTAATCGTAGCTTCTACTGGATTCTATGAAACAAATGTAAACTTAGGAAAAATAGCAATAGCAATAGACTTATACACTACCCTATAGTGCTTTACAACAGTCTCTGGGCAGTTTATAATGTTAGCTATTACCCTCAACAATCTGGGTCCTCATTTTATTCACCTCAGAAGGATGAAAGGCTGTGTCAATCTTGAAGATTGAACTACAGGCTATGGGCAGAGTTAGCCTGCAATTCTGCATTCTAACCACTGCTCCACCAGGGCTCAAACACCAGGATGGTTGGTTTATTAGACTTGCATTGCTGCCTACTTTACATACAATAACACCCGGGTGGCTTACAAGCAGCAGTCAAAAACATAAAAAAGATAATAATACCAACATTTAAAACAACAATAGCAACAATCCTCTTGGTGCCCCAGACAATTCTTCAGACATTCACATTTACAGTTGCCACTTAACTCAGTGCTTGGGGGAATAGCCTGGTCTTCCAAAAGACTAGGAGAGTCTTTTGGAACATAGGATGAGGGATATTCTTTCTATCAGATAATAACATTTCAAAAAGGATCCTGGAGTGCGTCAACTTCTAACCAATATGCTATGACAGGCAGATAGGCAGTCCCACAAATAACCTGGCAGTATATCATGTAGGGCTTTAAACTCGTGAATTGCACCCAGAAAGTAACTGGATCACCACCAGTTATAAGAATATTTGTAATGACTCTTCTGGTCCATGGGCTTATGAGATACCTGGCACCTCCTGGAGAAAATAAATAAGGATTCTGCATTGCCAAAAAGCCCAGTTAATATGAATGAGCATCCAGAAACATCAGTAAGAAGGCTTGTTTGGATTTGTGGCTTGGTGTATAGTGGGAATAGTGGTACTGATCAACATAAAATTGACAATATTTCTCAACAGCAAAGAGTATTGGAAATGTGGTACAATTAAAGGACAGCAAATTGTAGCAGTATTGTTTAGTAGCCTGTTAGCAAAATTTTGCATCTCAACAAAAAACTTGCATTGCTTTCCATGGTCTTTAGAGCATGGAAATCTAGCAGAAGAAATATTTTAGAAATTAGAAAATAAATGTTTTGAGATTACCTGTAAAATAAAATCCAGCATTAGTTAGTAAAGCAGGCTGTATGTCTTTGCAATAAAATGGCCAGTTGGTGAAGGATTCAAGTCTTGACTCCATTTCTTTGTATTTATTTTTTACTTCTAGAGAATTGTTCTCTGGATTCCGTACTCGAATGTCATATTTAGAGATATTACCAACCTCTTTGCCTAAAATAAATTCGCAACTGGACCGTAGATTTTTATGTTTGTCAAAAGGTGACGTTTTCAAACTTCTTGTAAGCAAAACTAATCCACAGCAAAAACATTGTACTGCAGACTTCACATTGTTGTAATAGAAGCCAGCTGCAGCCATTTCTGTGGGCGCCCAAGTTGATTCAGATATGGAGGAGAAAGTTTTTAACCTTTTGGCTTCACTTCTCATTGTAGGATTAAACCCTGTTTGCAGTTGCTCGCGGACTTGCTGGTGACCCAGCTCCATTTCTTCCATAAATTTGCTAAAATTAAGATTATACTTAGTGTAAAAAGCCTCAATAGCAGAGGAATCCAGCTCTGAAATGTTACTGATATCTGCAGAACTCTGTTGGGCAGCCATTCTATTAAAAACAAAACAAAAGTTATAAGTCAATACATCATAAATGATCTCGGTTCTGAAATTACATTCTTTATTGCAAAGAGTAGTAATAATTATGGTGTTTATTTTTTTCCCCAAGGACTGTAGTCAACAGACAGTAGCATGGCTTTGCTATCACAAGTAGTGCATTTTACTATTATTTTTTTTTAGAGCATTATTGAATTATTATTTTTTTATTCCATTTTAGTGCACAGCCAGATTGATTAATCAAGACATTTTTTACTGTTAGCAACTGTATAGATCAATTTTTCCCCATGATGGTCTATCCATAACCTGTTCTATCAAGTATTCCAATTGTGCATTCATTGCCACTGTAAATGAGATAGCCAGATAACAAAGTTAAAATAAACTGTAATCCACCAGTCCTTGAGGTGGCAGAAATCTGACTGGTCTAAAATTTGCTGCCCTAACAGCTGTGTCCTATTTCCAGGATAGTAAGCAGTGCTGTCTTATAGTTTTAATTCAAGAGAAGTTAAGGAAAACAATCAGTTGATTTCCTTCTCCTTCAACTGAGCTTCAACTGCTGGCTGCAAAAACAACTATTAATCTCTACCCATAATATCTGCTGAAGAGTGGCTAGCTCAGGGGTAGGCAACCTTGGCTCTTTTATGACTTGTGGACTTCAACTCCCAGAATTCCTGAGCCAGCATGGCTCAGCTTGGAAACCTCTCCCTTTCCCCTCAGCATGGCTGGCTCAGAAATTCTGGGAGTTGAAGACTACGAGTCATAAAAGAGCCAAGGTTGCCTACCCCTGGGCTAGCTGAATGAATGTTAAAAAAGTAAGGTAGGGGGCAGTGCTCATGTCCGTTTCTTAGCCGAGAGAGCCAGCGTTGTCCATATGGCCAGCATGACTATACGTCGAGGTGCACAGAACACTGTTACGTTCCCACCAAAGTGGTATCTATTTATCGTCTTACATTTGCATGCTTTTGAACTGCTAGGTTTGCAGGAGAATGAATGTTGGCTTTAGCCAGTTATCAGGTTTCACATCTAGCAGACTGCAGGATCAGGAGTGCTCCACACCTCCAGTTTGTGAGCGAGACAATTTATGAATACATGACAAATTGTCTTTTCAAAGAGCTTTCTTTCTGTTTCATTATGTGTTCATCCTTTACTGTTGCATCATGACAACTGGGTCATTTGTAGAAACAGATTTAGCAATTTTTCAAAAGCACACCAGAACTGTGTTCGGGATTATCCTGGAGGATAGGTTGCAGGCATGGAGGAGGATTTCCAAGGAATATCAGGAGAGCTTCTACTCTGCTAATTCCATCCATCCTTAATACCTGGGGCTACCAGGTTAGGAGGAAAGGGACAGGGTCCATTCACAGACATTACAAATTCATCCAAAGCCAGGAAGTTGTTCAGGTTTTTGCTTAGCCCAGCATATTATGGACATTCACTTGGTGGAGGATGGCCTTCAAGTTCATCAGGCAGTAGAAACAAAATCTTAGGCGAGATGTCAATTATGTCAGTTTCTACTAAAAAGAATTTACAACTTACTTCCTCTCTCCCTTCCCTTCTTTTCAAGCTATCAGAAAAGCCCATATAAAAATTACTGTGCCTCATTTTTTTCTTGTGATGTTTTTCTATAAGAAGCATAGAAGAATCTAGTATGTCCCAGCAATGTAGGTGTCAACGCTGCAAATACTGTATATTCTTGCTTTGACAATGTGCAGAACTGTCTGGTATTTATATAGTTAAACCAGCAACCAGGAAAGGGGGAGGAGCATAGGATAGCCCGGGAGAAAGAAACCGGAAGTAAATCACATCTTCCAAGTTGATTGGAAGATGTGAACCATGACCCTAAAATAAGGGAGTGGAAAATGGTTGAAATGTTATGCCTACAGGAAGAGAAGCAGATCTAAGCATTCCACCATGCTGTGCTGATGAATTGTAATCTTAATAAATGCTTTTAGGAGAAAACATGCCTGAAAGTCCTTTTAAGTGTTTCGTTACTCAGACACATGACAGTAGGTATAGCAAAATAACAAATAAAAAACCCTAAAAAAAGAAACATCAATGAAGTTTAAAAAGAACCTACATTGATTATAGAGGTAGATTTTGTGCACATGGTATTTATATGTGTTCTCTCACATTTTTTTTTCTTGTTACATGCAAAACAATGCAAAAACAAATTTCTCGGACATTTTCTTATGTGTGAATATAGATGAAATGCCACTTGCAATTCAGATTTGTGTGAATGGCATGGAAATGAATAAACAGTCTGAATCCAAATCAGGCGTTATAACAATGTTTGGGCTCCTTGCTGTGGTACTAATAAGATCACGATTTTGGCATTAAAATAATTTTTTATTCTCACCAGTTCAGGCAGTGTTCACAATTATCTTGATATCTACAAAAAATTAACATGGCCTCTTTCCCTTTGCATTTGAACTGCATAGTCTTGTGAAACCCACTGTTCATGGGCTCAATTAAAGTTGAAACTTAATGAGTCCAAAGAATGGGCTGGGGCAGATATGTGATATTGCACTTGCCCAAATAGCAACAACTGCTTTACTTCCCCTCGCCCCCCCAAAAAGAAATCAAAACTGACACGAAAAGAAACACAGAGAAAAAAGAGATAGGCGGAAATAAGAATGTATATTCCTGTTTCAGTCACTATGTTCTTTGTCACCATATTAAATAATGTCTAATTCATTCTCAAATATAGTTCGGTTTACCTGAACACATTTCAATATCCAAACTAGGTAATATCGTCAGTGCTATGTTACCTAGTTTGGGTAATGAAACATCTGCAAGAAAACAAGCAAGCTCAGAGAGCACCGAGGACCCTCATTTGAACTCTGAGCTTCAAATGTTCTTCTTTCTTGATAGTTCAGTTTAGCATTGGAACTTACCTGTTTCCAGGTCCTGATTTATGGACTGTTGAAATGAGTTGCTTCAGGGAACAAAGGATCTCTCAGCCCGCACACCAAAAGTAAACTTTACAGGAAAGAGGAAGTGAGAAAAAATAAGACTTCCTCAATTGAGAAATGTATCTGTGCAAAGCAAAAGCAAGGCCAGAACAGTTTGTGTAGCAAAATCTAAGGCAGGGGTAGGTAACCTTGGCTCTTTTATGACTCGTGGACTTCAACTCCCAGAGCCAAGGTTGCCTACCCCGATCTAGGGTAAGAATGACTTTATTGCTGGGGGGTGTGTGGAGTGGGGGATGGGAATTTAGAGATTCTTAAATGAAACTGATTGTCTAAATCAGGGGTTTTCAAACTTTTCCAAACCACGGAATGTCTTTAAAAAATTCCTGGAACCCTGACCAAGAGCTATACTAGTGTTAATGTTGCTAATGAAATGAAAAGTAAACTGTTGATTATAAATGCCAAAAACAAAAATAAAACTTGAATTTCAGTTATCAGAGAGTGTGTTAATGTTTTAACCAAATAAATTAGTTTCAATGATTACAATGTAATTGCTATTCTTTGGATAAAAGTTCAAGATAAGGAGCAAAGATGTAATCTAGATTTAACCTATTTCTATGGTCATTTTTTTTTTTTGCTGTGTACAGATTGTCTTACAAAAATATCAGCATATTTCAATGCTCGACTAGCAATTTGGGATATTTGTTTTAAAGCTATATTCAGATATTCATAAATTCTGAAGAAATAAATGCTAATGAAATCAGTCAAATTTAATCTCTGAAAACGTGCCAGAAGCAGCAATATCAGCAGCCCTGGAATTTTTATTTTTTTCCATCTTTTTGTATACTATCTGATATTGTACCAGTCTGGTAGCCAATTATCTATAATTTAAAAAAATGTTCATTTTAAAGATATTAGGCATAATAGAAAAACAAAATAAAAATATAAACATATACCTTAGGGCGCATATATTTAGGATGGGGATTAATGGAAGGCGAACGCCTAGCTGAAGCCCCTTAGGCCAGTGGTTTTCAACCTTTTTAATGCCGCAACCCCCAACCGGTCGTAAGTCGAGGACTAAACCGGTCGTAAGTCGAGGACTACCCAACCGGTCGTAATTCGAGGACTTTCCCTGCCCGGGAGCGCTGCGCATGCGTGGTTCCGCCCCCTGCGCCGGCCGAGGCGTAGCTGGCAAGCGGCAGAGACGGAGCAGGCCGACCACCAGCCCAAGGGAAGTAAGGCACCCGCCGGAAAAGGGGAAAAAAATGGCAGACAAAAAAAATGGCGGACAGCCTTGCTTGGCGACCCCCGTGAAATGGTCGATCGACCCCAAATGGGGTCGCGACCCATAGGTTGAGAACCGCTACCTTAGGCACACATCTTCCTCCTGTCTGTCTTTGAAAATCTTGTTAAAGTCCCCATAAAGCTCAATAAGCCTTATAGCTAAGTAGGTGTGCACAAGATGTCAAGTGTAATAATCAAGTGGGCCCCTTGGGGACTTACAGATTTATAGACACAAAGACTGTACTGTCTGCAATGTGGAAAGTGAAGACAGATGGAAAGACTTCCTGCAATTGCTCTTGTGCAGTTAGGAATGTGTGTCAGAATTTGGTGGCAGGCAGAGAATCAGGTTTTGTACGTATGCATAGTGTGGGAAAGGCAGCCAGTTTGTCTCCTGCACAGAGCATTCACAAAAGTCGGGACAGGATAGTTCATTTTTTCTTCTTCTTGGTTTCTTGCAAACAGATTTCCTTCCCCTTGTTTCTGTGGAACCCATTTAAGTCTTTGTGAAACCCCAAGTTCCTTGGAGCCCTGTTTGAAAAATCCTAATCTAGATCCTTTTCAGTTGGGATTCAGCCCAGGGCATGGAACAAAAACAGCCTTAAGTCTCCCAATAGTTATTGGGAGCATCAACAATAGTATTCTGCTTGCTTGCTTGAATGATTGATTGATTGCTAAATCACTGGAGCTGGGTACTATTTATGTACTCTGAAAACAAAAGCAGGATTTTAACAGTGACTGGTGCCATACTTGGACATGCCAAATGAAAATAAAGCATATTTAGGTTTTATTTTTTATATACAGAACATATGATTAGATAAATTACAATAAAAAATTAGAGGACATTTCTGCAAATAATCATCTGCTTTGCTGTTAAAACTATAGCTAAAGGTATGATGGATACAAAGCAACAATGGTGTCTGCAGCAGGAGCAAATTAATACATGTGCAGAAATGTAATCATGCAACTGCCACAATTTACATACTTAAGCCAGATGCCTGATATAAATACATAAATATATAATTTCCATGACAGCCAGGTGTCAACTTTAGAATGAGCATGGTTGCAGCCATCTTTTTCCTTCTCATTCCTAATTGCCACATAGCACGGAGGGAGGGGGTTTGCCAGGTGTTGGGTTAGACAAAACAGACTTTCTCTCTCGGACTTTCTCTCATGGGAACCAAGGTCATCGGCTGCTCCCGAGACTGCGGGCTGAGCGTTTCATAAAAAGCCCGCCAACAGGCTGAATGGGGAAACATAGTTGCTTACATAGTTTCGAAGTGGGATTTCTTAACTTTGTATTGGGGAATTGTTATGCATCTCTTCAGACTTGGTTTCACTTTTGAAGTACCAATACTCTGTATCAATAAACATGTTCTTTGAGGAATTTGCAAGCCTCGGAGTTCTGCTTAATTTGTCTCTGTCGATCAGAACAAGGATATTAAACCAAGTCTGAAGAAATGCATAACAATTCCCCAATACAAAGTTACACCAGGTTTGGTGTAATGATTTAGGTGCTGCCTTAGAAATTAGATGACTATGAGTTCTAGACCTGACTTAGGCATGGAAGCTAGTTGGATGACTTTGGGCCCATCACTTTCTCTCGGCCCAACCCACTTCACAGGGTTGCTATGGGAAAATAAGAGGCAGGATTATAAGTACATTCACCTCAAGTTCACATTATACATAATAATTACATAATCACGTGTGTCATCATTTTAGTATCACTATGAGTTGCTTTGGATGTCATTGAAGAGATATTCTAGATATTAGCAGATCTTGTTAACAGATTTAAGAGTAATTTTTAAAATTATATTCCCAGTCTCACTAATTAAAATTACATCTCTAATAAAATATTCTACATAGAAAAATCACTTTAAATAGAACTTATGCTTATAGAAGGCATCTTTCTCTTCTGCCTATGGAAGCTAAAGAAGAGTTGGACATTTGTAAATTTTCATCTTTAAACTGTAAACAATGTCATAGCAAAATACGTAGTACTTTAAAATTATTGAGATGGAAGCACACTGGTTATCTGGAATCTACCTCAACATTTCCCTATACTTAATGGAATGGACAAAGGAAGCTAAGAGGCACAGGGGGCTATCACAGAAAAGAAACTTCGTATTCTGTAAATCCAGACATAATATACAGGTATATAAAAATGACTGCTATGAAGTATTTCTAATAGTGTCAGATTATAGCCTTTATAATTATAGCCTTTCTAATTTCAGAAAATATATTTAAGAAAAGCAACATATAAATAAGATTCATATTTTAAGTGCACATGTCCATTTTAATATTTTCAAAATAAATTTGGCACATTATTCCATATTGTTCCAAAAGAACATTAGCAAAAACAAATACAGGTAACACACAGAATTATGTGTCCATTAAATACATTATAGAATGGTGCATAAAATCATATTTAGATACACCTCCAGGTGACTCATCTTCCTTATCTTTCTCTTTAACCTAATTTGTTGAAGATGTTCAATAACTGGTGAAGATTCTCTGCTCAGAGGAATGTACAAGAAGTAATATTTAATGAGAGGCATCAAATACAGGGAGGACCAGGATGGCTGTGAATGCAACCTGGACAGCAGTGCAAGGTATCATGAGCAAAAAGATCACATTCAACACAAAATACACTATGACAGACTTTACAGATGTAGACCTGAGGGGAAAAATGAAATTTAAAAGTTACATATTAGCACATCATAGCATTGTTAATAAACTACCAATGCCCTTTGTATGCCCTTTAAAATTTTGCTAAGCAAATGATAATATCCTATTTAATATAAGCAATAATTGTATTATATTGTAATGAAACCTGGTCTATTCCAATGTCAAGGTGGACAATCACCTAAATATGAGCCAGCAGTGTGCTGCAGCTGCCAAAAAGGGCAACACAGTGCTAGGCTGCATTAACAGAGGGATAGAATCAAGATCACGTGAAGTGTTAATACCACTTTACAATGCCTTGGTAAGGCCACACTTGGAATACTGCATCCAGTTTTGGTCACCGAGATGTAAAAAAGATGTTGAGACTCTAGAAAGAGTACAGAGAAGAGCAACAAAGATGATTAGGGGACTGGAGGCTAAAACATATAAGGAACGGTTGCTGGAATTGGATATATGTAATTTAATGAAGAGAANAAAGAAGAGGGAGTCAAGCTATTTTCAAAGGCTCCTGAAGGCAGGACAAGAAGCAACGGGTGGAAACTAAGCAAGGAGAGAAGCAACCTAGAACTAAGGAGAAACTTCCTGACAGTTAGAACAATTAACCAGTGGAACAACCTACCTCCAGAAGTGGTAAACGCTCCAACACTGGAAGTTTTTAAGAAGAGACTGGACAGCCATTTGTCCGAAATGGTATAGGGTTTCCTGCCTGAGCAGGAGGTTGGACTAGATGACCTCCAAGGTCCCTTCCAACCTTACTACTATTACTAATACTGAAAATAATTATTTTTAAGGCCCAAAATTTAATGTGATATACATATGAAGCTCCCCAAAAGATGTTTATTTGCAAGGACATAATACATGGAATAGTTTATAGGTTAAATTCAATAAATACTTACATGATGATCTCTGATTTCTCCCTGACATCCCTGACAATACCTATTTAAAAATATTTGCAAAGTTCTATTAGGAAATATGTATTCATCTTCTTTTTCCACTTTACTACTATAATTAGAAGATTGGTGCTGCTATTGTAAATGCCATTAATAATGCCGTATAATCTCGTTATTTAAAATACATAAACAGAATACAATGATTTCCATAAAAAAAATTCAACAAAGTTTTCTTTAGATGAACAGCCCTTTAGGGATTCATACCATCCAAGGAACTGTATTCAGCTGCCTTAGAAGAAGGCAGGAAAAGGCCCTCCCCTGTATACCAAAAAGTTGGAACTCTGCCTCAAACCTTAAATTACTCTTAGAAAGAAACAGTAATAAATGAAGAATCAAAAGAAATCTTATCATAAACTAAAAAAATAATTTGGAAATATTTACTTAGTAGTGAACATGTTGTACTTTAAACAAGGGGCACTTAACTAAAAACATTAAAGATATATCATTTAGCTGAAGAACAAAATTTGGGTTTGGATACAGAATCCTAAGTATTTTTTACATACCTTTCCCCCATATACTGTTCCACTGGGACTTCCTCAAAGGCATCCAAAGGAAATAGGTGATGGTACGATCGAGCCAGGTGTGGTGCAGACACTAGTGTAAGTCCTGCATAAAATAGGTTTTATGGATATTCAAACCTCTGTTCCTCATCCCAAAATAGTATGTCCAATATATAAAAGCTTTAAGTTTATTTTTAGCCATGTAACATTGCAAGTGAATAAGTTTAAGTCCCAGGTCTTATTCTAATTGCTTAAAAGGGTTGAAGTAAAAATGTGATAATGAGCATTTGCATACTGAACTCTAGTCGTAACAGAATAGCCACAGACAATCCAAAGTCTGTGATTAATTATCATGATTTATTTCGTTGAGTCTAATTTCAATCATAGTGAATTGTGGAATTAATTCATTCAGGTGTTATCAAAAATCCTGCACACAGGGATGGAATGGTTGAAGTTTCTAATGAAACATGGCAGATACAAGTGCACTTGGACTTCCCATTCCAGTAAACCTATCTTTTTAATAGACCAGCAGCAATGTTTAAAGTACTATTTAAAATACTTACACAGAAATGTATATTACTATTAAATACTATGTATAGTAGAAATGTATATTACTATTAAATACTATGTATAGTAGAAATGTATATTACTATTAAATACTATGTATAGTAGAAATGTATATTACTATTAAATATTAAGTCATAATCTCAATTCATGCCATTAAAAAAGTAGGACAATAAAATTATAATGCTAAAACTATAGAAGTTCATTCAGATATCTCAAAACATACTTGCATTCAAATCTAGCAATGTGCTAAACTGCAAAATATTAATAAGCTAGGAATGCTTTAGGCATTAATACTCATTAATGAAGCATCAGATAAACGGCAATTTTAAGTACAGGAGAAAACTTTAATCAGCTTTACATTGTTAATTTCTTGTAATAGTAGTAGTACTTCCAGATACTGCTTACTTGAAACTATTTTGTATTCATTCTGTAAACAAATTGCTTCTACCTTAAACAAATCTTTAACCACTGTTCAGACTCCAGTAGATTAACTATATTTGAGTCGGATTTTTAAAGATACAATTTTCTAGGGAATGTGGCACACTTGAAGCAACTGAGATATAGATCATTTATGAAAGATGGAGGAAGTGCTATTTAATCATAGTGGAAATGCTGTAACTACTTTGTGAGAACAAGTTTTTTCTACCTTCTTGTTTTTAACTACAAGAACAAAAAAGAACATGCTATTATGTTTCATTTATGGTAGACAAGTATAAAAGCCCTGATACTCACCACACACTTTGCATTCCACAGGGAGTTCACAATATTTGGCTCTACACTGGGGACAGAAATATCCTCCTAATGTAAGGCCTGGGTCATTGCTGTTTTCCAGATGCCTGTATAGAAACACATATTGTTTCCTGAATACTTTTTTTCCTGAATGTACTTGAATTATTTGAACAAAACTAAAGGCAGAAATGTTAAGATTCTACAAATAATATTATGATTAATTCTTACAGAACTTGCCATACATCAAAGAAATCATGAGCATTTTTTAAGTGCTTCCATTTTATACTGCATTTTTCCAGCAGTTATGCTACATTTTATAGGGAAAATCTCAGTGTCCTACAATGGATAAAATGCTAAAAATGATTCAGGATTATTTCCAGTTACAAAATAGCAACTGAATTATTGACAATTAGTACAACTAAAAAGATCAGTTGATTAATACTTTTAGCATGAACAAAAAAAAGTGTTAGTGAAAGCTAATTTTGATTAAAATTTTAAAATATGCAGAAACAGTGGTATCAAAAATGTATTTGCCATTTTCAATACATCACCTCCTCCTATTTCTGATGGCTGAAAAAGCAAGACTGAGTTTGCCTATACATACAGATAAGATGTAGAAAATGTACAACACAAGCTACTGAATGGCGTGGCAAACCTTAAGACTGTGCCCTATAAAATACAGTATGTAATATATAATCACATATTACTTACGCCATGCTAAAAGATGGTTTTGCATCCTGGTCAGCCATTAGCGCAATTGTGTGCTGAGGAAAGCCTATGTAAGAAAAAAGAAATACTTAGAAAGATTGATGTTGTCCAAGTTTGCATTCAGACAAGATATAGAACATAATATTCCAAAATGTTCCAATTTCGGCAAATTCTCAATGCACAGGAGCATGCAACTTCTTTTAATACAGCTGTTTCTTAACAAAATAAAGGACTACCCTTGGCGTACATGACTACATATTCGATATGGTAGAAGGAGCTACCATTGAGACATTGCATGCTGAACCTAGAAAGAAAAAAGACATGACAGAATTTTACCTCTAGGTTTCCATACTATGACCTGCACGCCTCATGTTAAAACAATGGCATAAAGAGAATTGCATCGAACATTTACAGAAATGCTGCATGTCCAATACTGAACTCTTAGAAGTAACAAAATTCTTACCCATTCGAATAAGAGAACTTTCAGAACTAGAACTGGCCGGTGGTGGACTGACATGATGCATCAGGAGCTCCTTGTAATGGCTTTCGTCTAAAATAACGTGGTAGGTTCCTGCCGTACAGAAAATAATACAACAGAAGTTGCAATCACTGCCAGATGTATTAACAGCTGCTTGGTTGAATTGCCTGCTAGAACTGTCCTATAGACTTAAAAGAAGACTCTTTGCAAGTAAATAAGCTCTCTAAAAAGGAAAAATGCTGTTTTCTCCTTTGGTCTAGCCCAGGGGTAGACCATGCTGGCTCAGGAATTCTGGGAGTTGAAGTCCACGAGTCATAAAAGAGCCAAGGTTGCCTACCCCTGGGCTAGCCAATACATACGAGAACTGTACACAGAGGGAATAGTGAAAGTGTTTCTCATCCACTTATCGTTGAATTTTTGTAAGGTTCATTAAAAAAAAGATATTACTGAAACCTTGACTGTGTTATTAATATTGCATTGATTGCACTACTGCAGTGTAATAATTTAACCACAAATAAAAATACTTAGATCAATTCTATTGCATTCAAAGTGTTAGAAAGACCCGGTCAATTCTGATTGCCAGATGCAATATACAATTTATAAGGAACAAATACTGAGGAATTTTCTCATTCATTCATTCATTTATTAAAGTCACCACATGCTCCTAATTTATTTTCTTGTATTATTAAAAAATTACATCAATAATCTAAAATTTGCTGCAAGACAATTGTTTGAAAAATATACATTTTAAGTTTCTTGCAGCTACACCAAGCACACTTCCCATCATGCTGTTGCTGTTGTGTCAGTGTCTTATGTCCCTCCAAGCAGCAATAAACTATCAGAGACCCAGGGCTGAAATCTGTTCCAAAATCCCTTTTTGTAGCATGTTTTTCTATCACTCTGAAGCAGAAAACACTTTTAAAAAGAACTCTGGAGTATAAACATTAAAATAGCTAACATAGTTTAAAACAGAACAAGTCCACAATTTCCCTCTAAAATGTAAGGAAACAACTGTTTTAAAATCACATCATCAACCTCCCTCCACTATCACCCTGCACTTGTCAGAGACTCATACATGTTTAGTGTGCTCCTCAATCATCAAAAGATTTCTCAGTCATGCTTCAAATGCACGACAGAAAGGGGTAATTAGCATTGTGAATGTTTTACAGGAAACAAAGAGTTCAACATTTTACAGTGATTATTGAACACAACCAGAAGCATATTAAAGATATATTAGGGAATGGTTATAAATAAAATTCTTTATATTGCATGGTCAAGGAAAATAGAGAACTTTAAAAAACTATAAGCTTTCTATAAAATGATGATCCTTGCATCACTTTCTTTGGTAAAAATCCATTTGTATATTTATGAATTCATTTTATGTATATAAATATACATACCACCAGTTTCTCTGGCAAGCACAGTGCATACTCGAACTTCAGCAGAAAGACCAATAACAGACACTCTGATCTTAACTGATTTTAAGGACTTTGGATGAAAAAAGACAAAAATAAAAAAACACGCACCATCAGAATAGAAAATTATCACAGGAAAGAAACTTCCAATATTTCATAACAACCCAATTATTTAATTATCAAGCAGGTCCAATATGACAATTAAATAATAAAACAAAATAAATTCTTTACCTTTATTAGGTCATATATATTTGAGGGATCACATGTTGTTAGGCTGCTGAGTATTACTAAAACTTCTCGACTTGTATGTCCTGGCATGTGCCTAAAGACAATAAAATGTTCACTTCTAATAGTTACAAGAACAAGTTCCAAATGTATATATGATTTTATTGAATATGTGAACTCTGTTTGAACTTTCAACTGTAATCAGAGGAATAAAGTTTTATTAAATCCTTTCTTACTGAAAGAAGCAAACCTAAGTTTGTAATGCAGATACACAAAGTTGTACATATACGTAGTTTGAAAAAAATGTGGATATATAAAAATGTGCATTTACTCTCATATTGATAAAAGCACAAATAAAACAATCATATGGGATTTTACAATTTTCCAAAATTATTAATAACAAGACCAATTCAATAAAGCTATTATTCTAACACAGTTTATTTCAGTAATCATGCAAGACTACACACCTTCCAGCAACAAAAGAATCCAACAGAGCTAGAGGGAACAAAGCTAAAAAGGCCATTCTAGGGTCTTTATATTTCAAAATGACTTGCAGGGACAATCTACTAAGAATAAACTAAGGCAGCCAGTTTGCAGTTTGGTATGTAGGCAAGACATGCATTTGTCCAGATTTAACAAGAAATTATGATTTACCGCTGGAACCAAAAGTCAAGAAAAGGACTAGAACATGAGACAGAAATACGTATTCAGACGCAAAAGTTATTAAATTGCCCTGTCAATTTTTTGCTCTTTTAACTTCACTTATAATTAGTGCAATCATTTACTGCTATTTTAAAATAATAAATAAAATAAAATAAAATAAAATAAATTCACTCTTACATTTCCAACATATACTTACTTTAATGTTTGAGTGGCTAAATTTAAGGCATTATATAGAGAAGGCTCTCCTAGGCAGGTCATATCTACAGCTTTTTTCAGAGCTGTTATATGTTTCCTTGGATTCCCTATGAAAAGAAATTAACCTCTCATTACAAATTAGTGTCCTAGCTCACTCCCAGGCTAAGGAAAATACTCACTTAGGATATTTAGCTGTTATTCTCTCTGCCTTTAGAAAATTAAAACTGCATTTTAATGTACATGTTTACAACATCCAATACATATTATTTGTATCAGAAACAATGGCCACTTTAGGAAGAAATAAGAACTGAGGAAAAAGAAAATCAATACCTGAAAGTTCAGTCAGTTTTTCAGCTCTTTTACTCTTAGTTACAATGATGCCAATCTGCAAGAAATTTGTTTGCCATTAATAGGATTCATTGAGCAATGAAAACTATATTTCGGAAAAGATGTGGCTATATTTATATAACAGGCAGAATAGGACAGCTCCACATACAAAACATTATTGCTTCTCTTTGTATTACTACAGATTTTGCTGGGAAACACAGTTATTGCAAAATATTTACTGGAATAAAATGCTTTAGGAAACTTTTTGTAGTCTGCCTACTTAATTAAGTTACATAAAGGAGTTCTTTATTGCTTAATTGTGTTGTAAAGCCATGGAATCTGATAATGCAGATTTCAGAATGCTAGGAACCATTGATCTCCCCCCAAGTTTTTTTTTTAAGTTTCTAATTGATATGGCTACAAAAGAGGCTTGACAGATGTTCACTGATGAAATCAGAAACCCAGGAAAGAAGGAAATCACAGTTCTAAATCTTAGAGCTTCAGGATATTATCATGCACTGTTTCTCCATAATCCAGGAAAATAAACAAAGATTAATTATATCCACGTAGATTGCAGAACCAAGCTGGCTCTGGCATTCTAAACTATGCCAAGAATCCAGTTGCGACAACTGGGAAAAAAGAAAGTATACTTGCTTCCCCAACTCTAGATGGTTAACTAACCACAACAGTTTACCAAACATTAAGGAAAAAAGTTAATTACAGGAATGGCTGTCCTATGCATGCAGCATCCTGCCCTGAATAATTTCAAATTCTATATAATCCTTTCTTATCTTCCATTGTGTATTTCATGCTGCCTTACCCAACAACAAAGTATTAGTACAGAATTAATATGCCCTGGAGCTTTAATGTTTCCTAGGACAGAAATGAAAATTATGCTAGTGGTTTTTAATCTTATTTTACAATATACAGTATATACTGCTTAGACATTAGAATCTTTTTCTAGGACTCCAACTTCAAAACAAAAATAACTTATTACTACCATCAACATTTTAAAAGAAATTGTATATTTAAACATATAAAATTTAAGAAGCAATAACTATGAAACTTTGTTTCAACAGTGCACATACCTGGCTAATAGGATTTTGATCAAAATATTCTTCAACAAAATATTCCAGTAGCTACAGAATGAGAAACATTAAAACAATCTATCAAGTACTATTTTATATTGGGCAAATGTATTGAATTCTTTGCATCTCTTTAGAAAAATGCTTTTCAAACTAATTTCTAAACATCACTATAGTGGTTTAAAAATATATCTAGAAGTTAATAGCAAAAAATACTGTGAGATCTATTCATTATATTTATGAAAATAAGTATACTTCAAGGGTCAGCTTCTTTTCAAAAACAATGATCCTAGTTCTGCACAGCCCACTTATTTAGTAAAAAAACAATTGTAAGTGGAATCTATGTACGTCTTTTGACTGCGACACTTGTTGAGTTTAGCAGGACTTGAAATTGACCTGGTGTATTTGTAATTACCTTGTAAAATTGCATTCCTGAACATATTTTCTAAGGATTAATTCCCAATGAAATCAGAAATTGCTAATGTGCTTGAGATTAAACTGCATACTAATTCCCTGAAACAAAGCAGGTTAATATATGCTGATAACTCACACGTTGGAAAACTGTTACAATATAAATACCTTATATATGAGTACCAATTTCAATAGACTCTTATATTCACCCAACAGGAAAAATAATGTACTATATTTATGTATTTCACTTTCCCAGTGATATATTGTTATTTCCTACTATCTTCTATTAGAAGAATAATTGTGCGAGTTCATTAAACTAAGAAATGATCTCTGGTCTATAGTGGTTCTCCTATACAGAACCCCACATTATATCTGCTATACAGATTTGGAGCACTTTTGAATTATTTCAAAAATTATCACCTTTAAGGAACACGTTAATCTATTAGGTTTTAAATCTTGATCTTCCATTGTTCGTGATCCATCTACTATGACATACAGATGGCGCATCTATAAAGATAAAAAAACATAAAGCCAATATTAACTATACTATTGTATTAAAAAAATAGCATTAAATATTACCTTTGTATACAACTTAACCTTAGGTGACAAAACTTTTTATGTATTGGTTTTCAAAATGTTTTTTTCTTTAATGTAGAGTAGCAAATTGCAAACCTCCATAAACTTGTTTAAGGTCCACTGAAATCAAATCTCAACTGAAAGCAAAGAAACTAATCCTGAATATATAAAAGTCAAGTACAGACTGCAGGTATCAAATTTTTTTTTTTGAGGCTTCACCCTCACCTCTTTGCCTGAAGCATTATAAAAATGTATCTGAACTAGTTCAAGTAATTTATTACTTACCACAATTAAAGATAATATATTTATTATCTTGCCTTTATTTTTTTTATAAATAAGGCGGCAAACTTACCTAATACTCCTTGCTCCTCCTATTTTTCCCACAACAACCCTGTGAGGTGGGTTGAACTGAGAGAATGACTGGCCCAAAGTCACACATCTGACTTTCATACCTAAGGCAGGACTAGAATTCAGTGTCTCCTGGTTTCTAGCCTGGTACCTTAATAACTGATCCTTCCACACCAAAACCCAGATAAGGTGTCATCCAATTTATTCTACTTCATTTAATGCCTAAGTCTAATTTAAGCAATTTTATTTGAAACAAAATGAGAAAATGAAAGTGTACCATCCCAAGTCGTACTTGTCCATGATGTTCAAAAGTTCTATAAAATAAGAAATAATTATTGCAATCTTCATGGTCCGTAGGTAAGCTGTTGATATATTTTAATTTGTACATTTTCTAAAAGTTATAATCCATGTAATTCATGCATTGATCATTACCCACCTGGATTACTGTCACACATTCTATGTACAGCAGCCTTTGGATATTAAGAGAGAACTACAATTGGTCCAAAGTAGCGTGATAAGACTGCTAGAGGGTCAATCCCCTCATTGTAGGGTAATGTTTCTGAAATTACTGCACAGGCTGCCAGCTCCAATTCAAAGCAGTGTTTATGACTTCAAAAGCCTTATGTGGCATGGGCACCTGGTCGCATGAGACATCATCTTCATAAGATAAAATCCGTCAGTTTAGTGAGAATAACTTGGCAAGGAGTGAATTAAATACTAATAAGAAAATAGGTCTATTTTCTGGCAGCCTACATATCTTAGATCCAGAAATTAATAAAGCTCACTCCTTGTATCAGTAGTACAGAGCTTGCTTTTCCTATCTCTCTCCTGTACTTGAGGCACATGTGAAAATTGCATCTCCTAACATACTAACAATCATATTCTGCTCTAAGGTTTTAGTTACTGGCTTTAAAAAAAAAGTGCTTATTTGAACTTTTATTTTTAATTTTAGGCTGCCTACTCATTGATGATTCTGAGCAATTTACAAAGGATTAAAACAATAAAAAAAACATACTTGGAAGAACGAATCTGATATATATGCTTCGGAGGACAATATATAAAAGTAATTCAGAGTACATATTCCTTCCTAAAGATCAACAAGGTGAGGGCCACATCTACCTCAGAGGATATACTGTTTTATAGGACACACATGGCAATAGAGAAGACATGTCTCCTGGGTCTTATATAGTGTCATTGTTTAAGTGATTGGACCTGGAGGATACTAAGCTGTCCAAACTTATCAGACAGGTACAACTGGAGAAGCAATCATGCAAATATCCAGCCCCAGTACTATGAAGGGCTTTATAGATGACCAGAAGCTCCTTGAAGCATACTGGTACAATAGTGCAGTTCATGACATACAGTAATGTTACATCACTGTACTGATATGCACCCATACCTACTCACACCACTGCATTCTGAACTAGTTACAGCTTCTGAGTGGTCTTCAAGGCCAGACCCATTGCAGTATCTAGTCACATAATGACTAGAATAGGAGTTACTGTGAGAAAAGCCTCCTATTCTAGGAACAGACACAAGGTTCAATGAACTGGAATTCTAAACCAAATGAACAGCAAAATTAGAAATATTTAAAAATAAATAGTTAAAGTTTATTTGCAGAAAAAAATAATTACACAATTTAAATGAATAGCTAAACTTTTATGATACTGAAAACAAACTGAACAACTGTATCAGGCTGTATTCCATTATTTGTACTACTATATTTACATTAAAATATATAAACAAATTGTACCTTTTTAATTATAATGAAATGAAGAACATCACATTACAGGTATAGTTTTGTGTTTTACTAAGATATAAATCCTATCACATTCAACTGACATTTGAGTCACAATTGTTAAACAAATATTTATATGTTAAATAATATTAGCATGTTGTTATACAAATATGCTATCTACAAAGTTTGCTTGAATTCAATTTTTACCTTCTCAGTCCAAATCTCTTTTCCTTTTTGGCATGTGACGTCCTACTTATTTAATTTTAACATTAAATATCCTACCTGCTTAATTTTAAAAATCAATCTCAATGTTTTCAGCTGAACAATGGAGTAAAATATTTCAAATACACAAATATTACTAGGCATATTTTGGAATTTTAAAATAAAGCACTAAAGATAAGAACAGCGCTATATTTCATTTATCAGACTGAATATAACTTCAAACAAGGGAGAGCTGAATATTCCACATCCAAATGGAATGGAATTAACTGCATTTAAATTCAAGTTACACATTTATTCTAAAGTTATATCAATATAATGTACTGTACACTGTGCTCAGTTAATGCTTACCTTTTTCTCTTGGCTTTGAAGAGAATATCTTCTATAGTCGCTTTTAATGATCCAGATTCATCTTCTTTAAGAATTTCCCTAGAAGCAAAAAAAAAACCAAAAGTAAGAATTCTGTAATGTACTTACAGCAGGATATCACATTTAAAAAAATGGAGGAAAACTTAAGTGCTAAAAAAGCAAGCTTACCATGTTCTTTCATAACCCCCTTCCCACCGTTTGGTTCTTTCAGGTTCATCATCCATTTCTTTGAGTCAATGTTTTCCTAGTTAAGTAACAACAATAATTATCACAATCTAATTAAGATTTTAAAACATTGTATTAATAGCCACACAGAAACATATATTCACACACAATATATACAATGATAGAAAGCTAATATAACCATATCCCTGAATTTTGTTCAAGACTAAATTTATGCAACTGTATTTCCCTCAATTCTGAAAAAAAGTTTAGTGTATATTTGCTACATGGAAAACATCAAGTTAAAACTTGAGGCCACAAAGTTCACCGTCACCTTTCATATCCTTTCATTTAAAATTCTGAAAATCTATTAATTCTTTCCCCTGCATTCCAAGGGGCACTTCCACGTCCTTTTTCTATTACTTCTGTGGGAAATCAGTCCATTTCCTTGTTTTCTAAATACATTCCGATCCATTTAGGTTAACATCACTATTCCTATGCATCTTGGACATTTGAGTTAATTCATCATCAAGGGGACCAACTTGTGTATAAACATAAATTTCAGTTATGTTTTTAAGCTCTTGTGCCAATCTCTAAACTTTTACTGTATACATAGGAAAAAAAATATAAGCATATCCTTTGAATTTATGTGATTTACAGAGTGATGTATTAAACGGTTTTTGACATAACTTTATAGATTTATGTGAACAAATAGATAATACAAAAAATAAAGTATATAACCAGTAATATATAACCAGTAATCTCAAAATATGATTTGATTAGAGGTAGAGACGTGACAATCGGACCGTGGGCTGTAAGAACCTCAGAAACGGACAAGAATTACGCGGTATTAACACCAAACACGAGACCAAAACTTTGACCAAAGACTGCTACAGTCGAAGAAAAGGCAGCCTCTATCATGTCTGATGTGGAAGGTTCACTTTCCAGGAGCAGCGGAACAAATTTTAAGAGAAAAACATTTTGCACTCACAGCGTTTCTTAGCTGACAGAAGGAGTAAAAAAAAAAAAACAACACTCGGAACTGGAGGGATTCACCAAACCTCCTTTTCTTCGTCAAAAATCTGTCTGGAAAAACGAGGAGACGAACAAAACTACCACCTCCTTTCCTGAAAAAAACCGGCAACAACCCAACCAAACACCGCCTCCTCCCTGATTCCGTCCCTTCTTTAAACACTCCGGTCGCAGCTCAAAAACGGTGCACCAGAGTTCCGCCGAGGAAAAACCTCGAGACAAGAGGGAAAACACCATAGATGCACAATAAATATTATTTCTTGTTATTAGCCAATGGGTTAGAAAGGTTTAATCCTTGAAAGGGGCCTTCTGGAGAAGGCTTTCTACAGGACCCTCTTGATAAAGAGTTCAGCTGAACCGAAAGGAAGTTGTTTTGCGTAGTTGTATCAAAGATAAAACCCATTTCTGAGCTTTGGATTTTATTTCCTTCCGGATCAACACAGCCTCGTTCTCTGTTTCGTTTTTATGTGCAATATTTACGCGTAGGGTATCATTAGACAATAATATAATAATAATAATAATAATAATAATAATAATAATAATAATAATAATAATAATAATAATAATAATAATAATAATAATAATAATAATAAAAACTGGAGCACCACTTGAACACCATTGGCATTGACAAATTCGCTATTAGTCAATTGCAAAAGGCGGCCTTACTAGGAACTGTTTCCATCCTGCGAAGATATCTGTAATACCATCAAACATCCACATCTGCCTATCCCAGGTCCTGGGTAAGGACTCGATAGGTAGACAAAATGCCAAATCCAGTCTGAACATCTGGCTGACTATGCTATGATCCATAATAATAATAATAATAATAATAATAATAATAATAATAATAATAATAATAATAATAATAATAATAATAATAATATAAAGTTGGAAGGGACCTTGGAGGTCATCAAGTCCAACCCCAAGCTCAGGCAGGTAACCTTATACCATTTCGGGCAAATGGCTGTCCAGTTTCTTCTTAAAAACTTCTAGTGTTGGAGCATTCACTGCTTCTGGAGGCAGGTTGTTCCACTGGTTAATTGTTCTAACTGTCAGGAAGTTTCTCCTTAGTTCTAGGTTGCTTCTCTCTTTGATTAGTTTCCATCTGTTGCTTGTTGTCCTGCCTTCAGGCACTTTCGAAAATAGCTTGACTCCCTCTTCTCTGTGTCAGCCCCTGAGATATTGGAACACTGCTATCATGTCTCCCCCTCGTCCCACCTCGTCCTTCTCTTCGTTAAACTAGACATACCCAATTCCAGCAACCTTTCCTTATATGTTTTAACCTCTAATCATCTTTGTTGCTCTTCTCTGTACTCTTTCTAGAGTCTCAACATCTTTTTTACAGCGCGGTGACCAAAACTGGATGCAGTATTCCAAGTGTGGCCTTACCTTAAATGAAAGCAACCCATAAATAAATGATGGGACCATAGATTGGAGTGCAATTGTGATTGAATATCAGTGTATTACTGCTCGAATCTGCTAAACTGCTACAAGTTATAGCAAAAGGGGAGGAAGAGCTCAATTTGGCTGAATAGTTTCCTTTCCATTAGTTTGGGGGAGGGGGAGAGAACATTTTTCAGAGTATAATCTTATAGCCACATGCTGGCTATGTAAATACATAGAGGCCTTAATGGAGCATTTAAGTCAAGAGCACAGCTGGTTTCTGCAGATGCAACTGATTGTTGGATTGAATTGGCCTAACATGGAGGGGTCAATTTAAGGCAGTTGTATGGGTGTACATAGGAAGGGTTTGGTTCACAAGACTTCCGGTTTTGTGCGGTAGCGACCGGTTGCAGGCTTGCACAGCTAATTTCACCCTGCATGGGAACCCTAAATGGGTCTAAGTCGCCCTGGAGAGGCGATGAAGAAAGAAGGGTGCTCCAGCGATTCTGGAACGGTGGTGGCCATTCCGTTCAACTTGGGGAAAGCCTTCTAACCAGATAGGAGAAAGGCTGGCTGTATTGCATGGACCAGCCCAAGCTACTAACAACCGAAGTCCAAAAGCACTAACCAGCACAACTGTGAACAGCGTGCTTGAAACTGGATGAGGAATTTGATCTTTTCTTTTCTATTCTACATTTAATTTCTTGGAAAAAATCCCCACGAAGCAAAATACCTCCGAAAGGGAAGGAGGGGAATTTCTGCCCCACCCTTATTTATTTATTTATTTATTTTTGGATTTATATCCCGCCCTTCTCCCATAGGACTCAGGGCGGCTGACAATCTATTTAAAATACATACAAAACAATACAAATTTAAAATTAATTAAAAGGAATATTTAGATATTTGTCGAATTTTAAAATATAATTAGAATTAAAACCCCCCTAAAAATTACCCTAGGCCAGTCCTGCAAGCTGGAATAACCAAGTCTTGAGGGCGCGGCGAAAGGAAGGGAGATCA